TGTGCCTTTTACGCAAGTATAACATTGCTACTCCAATTTTCTGTCCTACAGGAGGGTTCGTGCATCCTAATGGGTCTTGGTTGCACCGGGAATGTTCATGTCAAGTACCTCAGTGGTGACCAGTCGTCTTCGTCACCAAAAAACTACACGGGAACAGTGAATACGTCCACCTCCCGTAAGACGGCCATATTGGGCGGCGGTGCCACCGTGGACTACGATTTTCAGGCTCTCGAGCAGGAAGTCCTCGAGGGCCGGGCCGTGGTCACTGAGGCCGACCACACGAAGTGCGCCAACATATCCGTCGTGCGTTTCATGTCGGCCACCAACACCGACCTTCTCGTCTCCTCCTTCAACATCAACACAAACAAGTGGATGCTCGAGTAAGTAGAAGGTTTCCTCCCCCAATTACCGAAGATCTCGGGCTCCCATACCAGGTAGTCCACACTTGGGATAGGGTATGACTTGCCGATGACGGCTAACAAACCGAAAATGACCATTCCAGTCTCCACTCCATCATATGCGTATGTTACTAGTCGCTATGCGGCTGCCTGTCTCCATCATAGGGTAACAAAATGCAGCAAAGGCAAATCTTTTGTCTTTGAAAACCTCTCAGGCACAATGTTTTAAAATTTGAAATCTCTGGAAGCGATATCAATAAAGTTGGTCGGCAAAAGCTGTGCTGATCCATAGTCACAGTTGACGGCCTAAATGCTTGATTTTTCTGAAGTCAGTAGAAACCGACCCAATCTGAGTACTGACAAGGATAAGGGGGTTTATAGGTAGTCCTCCACTCTCCACGTCTTTTTGTCAAACAACTAGTTTAATTTTGTTTTGCTATGATGCGTCAACCCTGCCAAAAAGCCCTGAAAATGTCCCCGCCTACCCAGTTATGAGTTATTTTCATATTATTATCCTCGAATGCTTGTTGGTGGTATCTTAACCCGTTTTTTTCTGGCCTGTTTTCTCTTTTTAGATACGTGTATAAGCGCCTAAAGTTCCTGGGAAACAAGCAGTTGTCACAAATGATTACACTCCTTTTCCTGTCAGTGTGGCATGGCTTTTACAGTGGATATTATGTGAACTTCTTCTTGGAATTCATCACGGTCTACTCGGAAAAAGAAGTGAGTAATGGGTACCCCTCGGTTCACTGTCCCACAATTTTGTTTTCGAGGCTTTCTCTTACTACTGTGCAGTGAAGGCCGATCAGGCGATGGCATCGGCTGTAGCTGAGGTCTCCTGACTGACTGACTGACTGACTGTTTATTTAATTGTAGTCATCGTCGTTTGATTACTACATGATAAAAAGCACCTTCTAGTGCGTGAAGGTGCAATTTTTTGGACGTTTTTAATGACCACGGGCCCACCTGATTTTCGCACTGCCGTCCGTTCCGCTAACTTTAAAATCACCCGGATGGCTTGGTTGCGCATTCGTCTGCGAACGAAATCGGCGTCTTGCAATAATTCATATACATTGCAAAAACTGCAACTTTGACTACACCTGCCCGAGTGTAATGCTCGCTGACGTCAGTTCCTCTCGCAAAACTGGAACTTTGGTCTGATGAATCGTCAAT